TGTATAGCACTAGGATGCTATCCTGGCTGGAGCCCCATCAGGGGCTGAGGGAGCTGGGAAGGGGCTCAGCCTGGAGCAAAGGAGGCTCAGGGGGCCCTTGTGGCTCTGCACAACTCCCTGCCAGGAGGGGACAGCCGGGGGGCCGGGCTGTGCTCCCAGGAACAGGGACAGGAGCAGAGGGAACGGCCTCAGGCTGGGCTCGGGGTGGGCACAGCAGGAATTTGCCCATGGAAAGGCTGCTCAGGCCTTGGCAGGGGCTGCCCAGGGAGCTTTGCAGTGCCCATCCCTGCAGGTGTCCCAGGAAGGGCTGGAGGTGGCACTGAGGGCTCTGGGCTGGGGACAAGGTGGGCATCGGGCACAGCTGGGACTCCATGGTCTCAGGGAGCTTTCCCAACCTTGATGATTCTATGATTCTATGAAGGGATGATTCAAAACAGATTTTAACTCTAAATCTATCATACACAAATATTACAAAGGTCAAAATTCACCTAAAAGAAACTGAAGATTATTCTTTAAGATTGAAATAATCATATGTCAATGTTGCATACAACATTGATACATACAATATTGTAAAGCTATATAAAATAAGAGCCTTGTTACCCTTGTAAAATTATGGCTCAGGCCTGCTGCTTCGGCTAAGTACAGCTAACAGCTAGCCTGACAAGTTCTTGTGAGAAAGGAATTTGCACCTGTGAGAAGAAAGACTTCTACCCACATGTTCTATCCAAGAGATGAGAATGGGAGGAAAGGTTTTCACTAATATATACTTTAGCAACTACTAACCAATGAACCGAATTGCAGTAAATTACCAACCAATTAAAATGAATGACAATTCCTTTAGAAAACCATATAAATGTGAGCTGTGAAGAATAAAGTTGGGCTGTTGTGCATGAAGACAGCAACATGTAAAGACAGCATTACATGAACTACCCTTGGGTTTAACATCATCAGTGAAAAGTTAAACTGGACCTCTCTATTAGGAAAGGATTATTCATTCAAGTTTTCTTGTCCTTGAAGAGAATACAAAAGTCTTTATAAATATATTACTGCTTATGTAAATACAAACACCTTCATGTTAACATGTAGAGAGACATTCTGATTAACATTATTGACAGACCAATGGAAGAGGAAAAATAATCAGATTTTATAGGCTGACTTCTTCCCTCTAATACCTGGCCTTTCTGGCTGAGATGCCAGACTTATGACCACACTGCTTAATTCTTTTTCAGTTAAAGAGGAAGCAGAGTTGCGAGAAAAGCTGTGCCTCCAATGATGCCTGGCCTTGTACACATCTAGTAAAAAAGATATTTCTATGTTTTTGAAGTTTCTCAAAAGGCAGATCTTTGCCTTGGAAATGCAACTCTCAGTCAGTGACTTTGTTGGCAGAAGATGAAATAAAATGCAGCTTGTGCCTTTTCTGTGTTTATCTTTTGTGTGCTGGTTTCAGAGTTTGTTTCATGCTGCTGCTTTTCCCCTGCTCTTTTCCCCGTGGGTGTTTTGGGGGAGCAGAGGTGCAGCGGCCCCAGGGGGGCTGTGGTGGCCAAGCCAGGCGAGCCCAAGGCAGGCTGGATTCACGGCCACAGGGCCCTACTGGGATCCATAGATAATGAGAGGATTTGCCCTCAGAATTAAGGGATGACTATTGTGTGAATATTAAGAGAAGCTTTATTGATGTGTACTTATGTCATTGTAGTTTAAATGTCCTCTCTTCTCCCCATAGTTTCCCTTTTTGCAGTGCTTTCCCTCTTCCCTGTGAGCACCATAGGCCCCTGCTCTGGCCACAAAGGCATCAAGGTGATGAGGTTATTTCTCCTTTCACTGGGCCTCATTTTTTCAGAGCTGATCAGTATCTGATCTGGCTGTGGCTGGAAACCGACAGAGACAATTTGCCAACAAAAGCCTCATGGCATCCTCATGGTACAGTGCTCCTACAAACCTTCTTCAGTTATTCCCCATTCCAGCACCCAGGGGAACATTCAGTGATGTCAAAGATCAACATTTCCAGCTAATGGACTTCCTCATAGTTCTCAAGTAACTGGATTTCAAAACAACAGTTATTTATTTCCATTTCCCTAAGAGACATTGGACATTATTCTTTTCTTTTCTCATGCTGTGGAGCCTTGTGTAAATGACTTGATAGAATTTGGTAAGTTTTGTTGATTGTAATTGGTCTTTTATGTATCTTATCCCATATTTAATAGATAACCAGTGATAACCTTCACAAGATAATACCCTCACAAGAGTGTGCTGTTTCAACATCAGAACATAGGAGCCTTTTTTAAATGAACGAAAAGTGAGAGATGTCATAGACAGAAGAATTATAAAAGAAAGGCCTTATGAAATCAGGCCTTGTTCTCGTTATAGGTAAAAGTTAAGTTAAATTAGGGTACAGTTCAATTGTATTAATTATGTTAAATTAATTCTATTATGTTAAGAGGAGGGGGCTTGTTGGAATGTTCTAGAAGGGTCCAGGGTTTGGTGCAAGGGTGGTCTGGCGGGGCAAGGCAAGGGATTGGATGAAAGATCTGACCAATCATTTGAAGCCCTGCAGAAACAATTGGTCCAGAATGAACAGCGTTAAAGCTCAATATGAAATCTGGAAATGGACCAGTCATCATGTGGATCCAAAATGGACTGATCCTGGACTCGAAGGGGGCTATAAATGGGGGAAGTTCGGTTGGGTTGGGGTTCTTCTTCTGTTTGGATACTTTTTTGGTGGGGAGAACCCAGTGCACTTGGGGTTAGCGCACTGTTCTGTTTTTGGCTCGCTGTGTGGGTACCTGGGCTTATCCTGGGCACTCCATTCCTTGTAGCTATTTTAATAAACGAGAACCTCTTTCTCCAGAGAAAGTTTGGCCTTGTTCATATTCATAACATTCTGCTATATTAATAGTTGGCCTATCATCTCTTTTAAGTGCAGCTAAGCAGTTACAAGTTCCCATATGAAGCTATTTTGAGAATGAGAGTTCGTTAACAATCTATTCTGAGGGTGAAAAACAAATGCACCTGCAACAACAAGGGATTTCTCCCATGAGACTCAGTGAAGAGAACAGGTAAACAATACAACAGAGAGATTTGATGTACAAGTAAAATATATTTTATTAATCAATAGAATAATAAGAAACAAATCTATTAACTAATTAAAGTTGCTCACAAAGTCTGAAACTGTATAAACTAAGTAGAGTGAATAAAGAATGGTCTTTCCCTGCGTGAAGAAACTGAGTCCCCAGAGGTGGTAACCTTCCTATCAACACAGATGATACCCAGTCATTGTGGAACATCATCATCTGACTGCTCCCTCTGCAACTTTGCACCTCCAGCTGAGACGATTAAAGATTCCTTTGGTCTCTACATTTTTTGTTCGGGCTTCTTCACCTTCTCCTGAGGCTTATTGGTCTTCTGACCTTTGTTTTCAGCTGCATACTGGGACTTGTTTCTCTTTTGGATAACAGGTGACCGCACGGTACCCTGAACCCTGTTCCAGTAGGAGAAATTCTGCTGCAATGACTCATACGTCTGAAACCTCAGGAACAAGTTCTCTATCTCAGCTGCATCCTCTGAGATTTTGGTTCCCCCCATATTTGGGACTTTGGTTCCCGCCTTCTTTGGGGCTTTGGTTCCCCTGTTCTCTGGGGCTTTGCTTTCACCCTTCTTTGAGGTCTTGGTTTCACCTGTCTTTCGGGCTTTGGGTTCCATCTTCTCTGGGGCTTTTACTTCCCCCTTCTTTGGAGCTTTGGTTTCCTTCACTGGGATTTTGGATTCCTTCCACTCTGGGGATTTGGTTTCCTTTTCTGGAGGTTTGCTTTTCTTCTCTGGGGGTTTGGTTTCCTTCTTTAGGATTTTGCTTTCCTCCTTCTCTGGGATTTTGGTTTCCTTCTTTGAGATTTTGGTTTCCTTCTTCTCTGGTATTTTGGTTTCCTTCTTTTCTGGAGGTTTGTTTTTCTTCTCTGGTATTTTGGTTTCCTTCTTTTCTGAAGGTTTGCTTTTCTTCTCTGGGGCTTTGTTTTCCTTCTCTGGGGCCTTGGTTTCCTTCCCCTCTGGTGATTTGGTTTCCCCCTTCTCTGGGGGTTTGGTTTTCCCCTTCTCTGGTTTTGGAGGTTGGATACCCACAGAGACACCCTTCTTGTCCTCCTTCCGCCTCTCTTCCTCCTTCCGCCTTTCTTCCTCCTTCTGCCTCTCCTCCTCCTCTAAGGCTTTTACTTCCCGCTGATGCCTTTGAACCAGCCACTTCAGCAAACTTCAGCAAACAAAACAGAAAACATTGCTGAGAGTCACCACCAGAAATTGAGCTCACCAGTCCTGACTGGCCCTGCACTTCATTCCTTGACCCTAAGGCCAGGCAGAACCACCAGACCATTTCCGTAAATTTTTCTCAACCCACAGAGGCTGGGAACATCCCAAGTGAGGGCATTGGTGGAAGGGGACTTCCAGGACCAACCAAACCTGAACCATGCCATCATAAAGGTCTTGGCTGTGCAAGCTCCCTCTTAAGGCACAGCCAGACCCCTCCAGCCCCTGCCAAAGGCTGATCCACCAGCTCTCTGTGCTGATGCCTGAAAACGCCCTTTGCCTCTTAATTTCCCAGTTTAAAGCAGAGCACAGATGGCCAACATCTGCTTATCTCTCCTACAATTCTTACTCAGCTCATTCAGCACCCCTCAGGGTACAGCCTGCTCCTTAATGACAATAATCCTATCAGTCAGAAAGCAAAGGCTGCAGGAACTCCTCTCCTGCAAGACAGGCTCTTGTCAGNTGCTCAGGAGGGTGCAAGCCAGCTACCAACATGTTCCAGCACCCTCCAGGAAATCTGGGACAGAGAAAGCTCAAAGGCTGCATCCTGCTTAAACCATGAGAAGCAACGGCAAACCCCACAGGTCCTGCTCACTTCCAGCCAGGGCTGCAGGGCAGCAGCTCTGATGCTCTGGTTCCTTTTGCTGCTCTTTCCCAACTCTGCCATCACCCAAAGGTGATATCCTTTGCACAAGGACAGATGAGCTGCCTCACCTCTGGGTGCTCAGCTCGTAACAAGCAGGGCGGTTTCCAACATTGTGAACCAGCAGGGTCTTCTGGGTGCTGTACTTGACTGGACACTTGGAGAAGTCCAGCTGGTCAGGGAAGTCCAGGATGGCTCGAGCACCAATGGCCCAAACTGGTACAATGAACTCTTCACTTTCAGTGGTGCAGAGGAGCTGGTGGAAATAATCCTGTGGCAAAGGAAACTGTCTCAGCACAGAGCCTTTATCTCCAACTTTAGCATGGGCATAGAGTATCTCCCAGTTCTAGATCCTCTGAAACCAGAACAGGTCCTCAAAGGTCAGGCCAGATGCCCTGAATCCAGCCTTGCAGGTCCACTTTCCACTGAAAACAGCAACCTCTTGGGCCCTCCAGACTGACCTTTTTCTGCCCAGGGATGAAGAGGATGCGGACAGTGGTGTAGAGGCCCGGTGGCACCTTGCGGCACACGTCACTGGGGCCCACCAGCTGGAAATAAGGTGAGCTCTTCAATGTGACCTTCACCAAGTGAGGAACCTGCAGGAGAGACATGGAATGATGGTTTTGCCACTTGTGATGGCACAGGTGGACATGTCCTGGTGCCATCCTTAAGCACCCTTCTCTGCTCTCCTCTTCCAGCACAGCGTTAAACCTCCAGTCCCAGCACTCACCTTGTCCCTGTTCCTCAGAACCAGCGGCACTTCACAGACCTCACCGGGGCTGTAGTTCTGAAACACCACCTCTGGTGGGCAAGGCTGAAATGAGCGCTGCTCTGGGGCAGCTGCTGAGAACTGCAGGGAGAGGCCAGAGANGCTCCCTCATTTCCAGAGCTTTCAAAGCTTCATTATTCCCAGCCAGCTCCTGGGATGCATCTGGGCTCAGACTTCAAGCTCACCATTCCTGTTGCAGGTGAGCGTTACCCAGGCGAGATGCAAACAACAAATACCAGACATGCTCTCTAGAAATGGCATTTACATGGAGCTCTACAAGGATCAAGATGACAAACTACATGACTACAAACCAGATGACTAGAAAATTAACCCCATGAAAACTATCATCATCTCCCTCTTGAAACCCATGGCCACACCAGCCTTTCTGCTTAGAACAGGCTCTGCTCTGAGGGATGCACAGAGTGCCCTGAGCACTGCCCAGCACTCACCTGTGTCGTAGTGCACAACAAGGGACGCGGAATGGTCACCAGTCTTCAGTGGCTGAAATTCCACTGCCACCTCCACGGCATCACCAACATCCAGAGTTCCCATGGCCGGAGTGACAGAGAAAGGGCTGCAACACAGAGACAGTAGGACTCTTGGTGGAGATTTGGGGACATTAACACTTTTGCAGTCCAGTTCTGATCACTTGTGCAAGCAAAGAGCAAACCAACCACAGTCAGCAGAAGACAGAACAGACAGGGTCAGAAACAGCCACTGACTCTAGTGTGAGGAGATCCAGCCCTCACAAGATCCTATGGGATGAAATGACCTCATCTCCCCCATACTCTGTATCCAGCTGTCTGCAATGAGGCTCAAGGGTCATTTGCATTTTGCTTACTCTCATCAGATATCAGATCTCCTTACTGACAGAGCTGGGCAAAAGTTATGGCCATGGATACCAAGGACCAAGTACTCCTAACATAATTTAGAAACAGAGCTGACCAGTGAGCAAAGCTGGCAATTTTGTGACCAAGTCTCTCAAAGCACCATTCACCTGCACTTTTGGTAAATGCTGTGTGCAAGGAGGCTGCAATCTGTTTCAAGTCCCATGGTACAGTTATCTGCTACAGCCAAACGTTCTTTTGTCCACTGGTGTCTTAACTGCCATTATTAAATGATTTGATTTTTAGAGAATTGATCTCATTAAAAGCTGCCTCCCACACCAAGGAAGACAGAAAAATTACTGCTAATTGAATTGCCTCATGTGTCCACTAACACTTACTGCAGGAAGAAACTCAAATATCATCTAATCTTAACATCTATTACTTTTAAGTGATGGTCAGTTAATTCTGACGTCTAACAGCATTAACTGTTCTAATAAATTCAATCTGTTAGGTTACAACAGCTCCATCTCTGTGCTGAAAAATTCTGTCCAGAGTCAGCAGCTCACAAGCTCCATCTTTCCCTCTGTCACTGCACCTAGGCTCTATTTCATCTACTTCAAGATTTAATTCCTGAAGTTCAGAAACTCTTCAAATCCCTGTCAAGCAGGATCCAACATGCTCTGTAGCACTCAACAGAACTGCTGGCAAGCACATTGTAAAGGGATACCAGACTTTATGGGGATTTATTATGGCGGTGACAAAACAAGATCTGGAAATCCCAGAGAAAAACCGTGCATGGATTTACAAGTTCCTGCCTACATGTTTGCACAGTCCAAAGCAGCAGCCTGTTTGAGCAGCATCTGAGGAGCCTGGATTGGAGCTGCCAATAGCTCTGGCAGGCTTTGGTGGAAGCTCCTCTTGGACCCTCATGTTTCACAGCAGAAAAGTCAATTTGCCTTTTGACCTCTNAGGCTGAGGGGAGTTGGGCACATCCCCCCCATGTGCCAAGAGGCAGCCTCAGAGCCCTGGAGCTCTCTGTGCAAGCTCCCTGTGGGCATTTCAAAGCACATCTCACGGGAGTGCTCTGTGGGGTGAACTGAGCCACGCTGAGTACGGGGTTTGCAGAAAGCTCCCTGTGAAGGCAGAGCTCCTACCACACTCTCTGCACCAGGCCCTCATTTCCAGATAGCCCTGACAGGCCTCCTGTGCTGACACCCGCCAATCTCACCTCCTCCTTGGGTGTAAACTGGATTTGCAGATTCTGCCACCTTCCTGCACAAAGGATTCCTTTGGAGGGCGTCACGTGAAAAGGACAGGGCTCATCCACCAGTGCCTGCAGCTTCTGACGTATGACTGGTGTCATGAATTTGAGGTGACTATTCTGGGCACAGAAACCAATAACGTGAGGTCTCCTCATGTTCTGAGTCACTGACACGGTGCTGAGAGCACCCACAGCCAAACCAAGTGTGGCCCCAAAGCCCAGAGCTGGAGGGAAGCCCTGTAGACAGGGCAGGCAGACAGGGAACTACTGTCCTCAGAGGAGAAGGAGGAATGGGTGAAGATGGCAGCAAAGCAAAGCATCAGCTAATGGAACAGGTTGAGGCATACCAGCCTTGATCTAGACCCTCAGAAGTTTCCACAAACACACTGTAGACCCAAGTGCTCAAGCAGCCACAGAGCAGAAAGGGCAAGAGTCACAAAGAAAACCCAACCAAGTCCTGTGTTCAATGTTGCCTGTGCTTTACCCTCAGAGCAGGCTTGTTGGAAGCAATGAACCATTTGCAGGATTCTGGAAACCGGTTGTAGAGTTGGATGGTCTCAACCTGGCAGTCCCCAATAAAGATGTCAGAGAACTGCAGTCTGTTCTTGGAGAGGGTGAGTGACAGTTCAGACACAGTGGCACAAATGCGGATGGTGTACATAGGGCCTTTTGTCACCTGGAGAAGGACAGAGAATTCAGCAGAGCGTGCAGGTGACATCTGCTGCTGTGCCCAGCCTGCTGCCTGCCCCAAGAGCTGTGGTACCTCTATGGGCAGCACCACNCCCACTGTTTTGGTGAAGGGACATGATGAAGAAGGTGCAACTCAACACCATGGACCTAAAGACACCTCTAGAGGCAGTGCCAAGGCAAGCCCAGAGCCCAGCTCCCTGCAGGCAGCATCTAAGGCAGGAGGGCTCACCACTCAAATAGAGAAGATCTTCTGTCTCAACAGAAGAAGGTCCTTCCTCTCTTGGCAGCCAGGGAGCTCAGAGTGGCCATCCCTGTGCTGCTTCTGGCCTTTGCTGTCCAGCACCTCTGAGCTCAGAGTCCTTGGAGCAGGGAAGACCTCCAGGGACAATAACCCATGGCAGAGCAGTAACCCATGGAAGGCTTACTCACTTTTGCCTCCGTATGTGCTTCCTTCCCAGTATTATTTTATCCATTTCTGCTTTCTTCTTCTCAAGCTGGGCATAATACTCATTCACATCTATTTGCAAGATACGTTCTGTGTTCCTCTGCAGAGCTTTTTCCCGCTGCATTTCTTTAGCACAAACCAGAAGAGAAACCATGAGTGACTGCAAGCAGAGCTGGGTGCTCTGGGGCAGCTGCAAGGATTCACAGCTTTTCCTGACGCAGCCTATCATCCCAGGAGATATTGGGGAGCTCATATCTCTTCTCCACAATTCAGAAAATCCCCCAAACTATGGCTGGGCAGTAAAGTCCCCATGCCCTCACATCCCAGGAAAGGACACTCGGTGAAAACAAGATGAGATTGTTCTTTGCTGCTAGGAAGGTGCAAATATAAAAGAGCCAGTGATATTAGACCTGGTCCTATTGGCTGAGGAACTCATCCAGCCCTAGTCTTTGTGGCTAAGGGACACAAGGAAATATCCTGATTATTTCCCCAGTCTATGGCAGGCAGACAGGAGCTTGCTTTGGCTGCACTCAGGATTGGAAGAGGATGCCACAGCCCTTCAGCCAAGAGTTCCTCCACCAAGCTGGGGAACAGGCAGCTGCTAAAAGGACGGGCTTTCCCTGGAGAGCGAGGTGACAGAGAGTTCAGGGTGTATGGGCTGGAGTCCCTGCTGTGACCACAGGCAAAACAGACACCACCAAACCCTCACTATTTTTCTGACCTGCTGCTGCCTTGCCCATGGCCTTGGCCTCAGCCTCAGTCCTGGCCTTGAGCTCTGCCTCTTGAGCCTTTGCCCTCAACTGTGCTTCATGGTCCTGCAGCACCTCTGGAGGCAGCGTCTCACCCACGGCACGTGGAGGCAGAAAAAATCTCTTTTGGTACTCAGACCGCAGGATCTGTGTGTGGAGGGAAGAGAAGCCATAAGCAAGATTCCTTTTCTTGCCTTTCATCACACAGACTCAACAAACCCATTTTCTGTCTCCTCCCTTCCTCCCAACAACACAAACTATTTAGTTTAGGTCCTCCCATAGCATGTCAGCAGAGCTGGCTTTGCCCTGGGGTTTGCCTCCATCTCCCTGGCACAAGCCTGGGAATGCTGGAGTGCTGTGAAGCTTGGGCAGCGTGTACATGGGGCCCAGACTTCTCACCTTCTCCTCCTCAAGGTACTGCTCATCAAAATCCAGGGAGTAAAACTCAGTGGGGAAGTTGCATGGGTTCTTCGTCACCACTGTGGCCTCCACCCCATCGCTGTCCACCGGCATCCCTCCCATCTTTAGTGCTGGGGGCCTGAACTCCAACCGTGGCTCCAGACCTTGTCCTGAGAGGTGCAGCTTTAAGCGATTGCTGCTCCCACAAATGATAAACTCCAGCTCATTCTTGTAAGACCTCTGAAAAGAGGAAAGTACAGAAAACTCATCCATGAAGTCCCAGGTGACAGG